CATCATCATCATCATGGAAGAGAATTCCACAGCTTGTGATCTCTCCTGTGTTCTGAACAAATGGGCCTAAGACTATGGTGGAAATGAGAGAAAGCCCTCTTCTAAAGATCTTAAGACTCAGGCAGGTTCATACAGTCTTTCACACAATCTGGATCTGAAATATATAGATAATAACCAAGAGCCAGTGTGGTGAAATGGTTTGAGTGTTGGACTACAACTCTGGTGATCCAGGGTTTGATTCCCTGCTCGAGCATTAAAAACCCCTGCGCAACTTAGGGCATGTTACACTCTTTCAGGGGCAAAACAGACCATCCCAAAGGAGCAGCTCTGTGCCACCCCTTTGCTCAACAGATTGGGGCTGCAGCAACCATACGCCACAGCCCGAATCTGGCATTTTTCCAGTGCAAATAGAAGTGGCAAAATTCTGCTCCTTTTTGCGCTGGAAAAAAAGCATCCGTTTTGCTGCTGCATCGGCTCTTCTCCGCTTCTGCGGCATGAGGTTCATAGCTTGGGTTTACACCTAGACCCTGCTCTGAAACTGGACGCCAGGCCCAGGAGTGCATTTGCACAGTTAAGAATAATGGACCATCTGTACCCTTTCCTGGAGATATCTAAAATGGCTATGGAGACAAATAGCAATATAATCCCTGCCAGCACAGGCTGCTTCCATACTTTCTGATAGGCCTTGAGACTAACCAGAAGCAATTTTCTCTTGTCTAAATTAAGCCTCTGTTTGTTCATTTGAATCCAGTCCATTACTGACAGTGAACGTTGGTAGTAGATGGACAGAAAAGAGAAGTGTGTATCATCACCATATTGGTGACACTGAACCTCCAAACACCCAGCAGTTTCATGTATATGGAGCACAAAACCAAGCCCTGAGGGACCCCACAAGCTAATGGCCATGGAGTTGAGCAGAAATCTCTCAGCACCACCTGATGAATTCACCCCTTCAAGAAGGAGCAGAACCACAGTAAAACAGTGCCCCAGTCCCATCCCAGAAAAGCATCCCAAAAAGGTACCATAATGATGGTATTGAAAACCATTGAGAGTTCCAGAACAACACACTGCCCAGTTCCCAGCACAGTCATTTACCACCTCAACCAAATATGCCTCATTCCCATAGCCAGGCCTGAAGCTGGATTTAAAAGGATCTATATAATTGAAGACTGCAAGGTACATTGTTTGAGAGTCTTTGGAGCTTACGAACAACAGCAGTGTAGGTCTATAATGCTTTTTGAACAGCTCCCTCCTTAATTTTTCGATGAGCAAACCACTCTTAAATTTTTCTCCATTATTTAAAACAATTTTTGCATTGTCAAGTTGTTTTCCTATCCATGTAATGCTTTTCCATATTATTTATTTTTAGCTTGTGTCATGTTCTCAACAGTAGCAGCATTTGATCTGATTTGCTCTTCACAGAAGTACTCACATTGTGGTTCACGTGTTTCTCTTTAAAGCAGGTTGTTTATTCAGTTGTTTATGTTTTTGGCAAAGAGTAGGCAAATGCAACCTGGGGAGATCTCACGTTGCCCCAGTTTCTGCTTTTTGTGGTTCCTTGACCTTGGCCTGTTCTTTTTCTGGTCCAACTTAAAGAAGATGAATTAACTCCTAGAAACTGCTACAAGCGGCAGTTCACCTTCTAATCTGGCTACATGGCCCCCTTGCTCTGTTTAATGTCTTACAGTGCATATTTTGCAAGGTCAGAAGTGAACCTCAGACTACTTCCAGTTTGTTGACAGTCCAGAAGGGTCCCAGAAGTGGGAGAAAAAAACATGGCCCCTGGACTTGTTGCATTTGGGAGCTGCAGCCTAAAACATATTGAAAGGCACTAGATCAGGGAATGATACTGTGGGTGTATAGCTGTGTAAAAGCTGATATGTTTGCATTCTAAAGATTGTGGCTTTGGTACAGTATATGCTAGTAACTTGAGCCCAAATATCAGAAACAAGTAGTTGCAAAGAAGGTACTATTTCCTTGCCATTTCTGGTAAAGGGCCTCATCTGTGTGTGTTGTGTGCCTTCAAGTTGTTTCCGCGTTATGGTGACCCTAGGCGAATCTATCATGGAGTTTTCTTAGCAAGATTGTTCACAGAAGAGGTTTGCTATTGCCTTTCCCTGAGGCTGAGAGGGTGTGACTTGCTCAAGGTCACTCAGTGGGTTTCATGGCCAAGCTGTTAATCAAACCCTGGTCTCCAGAGTTGTAGTCCAACATTCAGACCACTGTGCCACACTGGCTCTAGTGAATAATCTAGTGCCTTTCAATATGTTCTCTGTAATTGGCATGGACAGCAGTGGAATTACACATTTACACCATAATTTTTCTCAAAACAGGGCTGTGATTACAGAGGAACACAGGAAGCTGCCTTATAATGAACCAGACTGGATCAAGATAGCTTAGTATTGCCAGAGCTTGGGAAAACTATTTAATTGAAATAGAATTCCCAGAACCTCCAGTAGTAGTCCTAAAATGAATTTCTCTGATATAAAATCTGGCTTTCCAAGTTTTGTTGGACTGCATATCCCAGCAGCTTTAGCCAGCATAGCCAATGGTAAGGAAAGCTGCAGTTCAACCCTATCTGGATTCTAACATGATTCCCACCCCATTTCTAGATTAACTTGCAGTGGATTTCCAGGTTTCTAGGTGCAAACTTTTCCCACTATACCCATCTGAACTGGGATTGAACCTGGGGATTTTTCATGCAGTGCATGTGCACTACCACTGAGCTTCCCCATAACATAATTTTGTGTGGTAGATTTGTTTTTATCAGAAGATAATTTCTAGGCTTTGGTATCTGTATCTTGCACCTGCTGGAATGAGCCAGCTGTTGCTGCAGCTGCTACATATTATGTGAAGCCAAGTTCAAAACTGTAAACAGAGCTGATCTTCACATTGTCTGCATTTTTCCCCCCACAATGGTAGTAGCACTCAGAATGCACAGGGTTTGTAATTCTTCTTTCTGCTTTCTCTAGGAAAAGGTGGTCATCATAATCTTCTTGTGTTACTGGTGGTTACATGGCAATATTGGTGCTGTTTAGGGGGCTTAGGTTGTTAGCACACTGCAGAAATAATCCAGTTTGAGAATGCTTTAATTGCCCAGGCTCAATACTAGGGAATTCTGGGAACTGTAGTTTTGTGAGATATATAGCTTTCTCTGGTAGAGAGCTCTGGTGCCATAATAAACTACAATTCCCAGAATACCCTAGCACTGAGCCAGGGCAGTTAAAGCAGTCTCAAACTGGATTATTTCTGCAATGTGTTTTGGACTATACTATCAGATCCAGAATATGCTTTTCAAGGATGGATGGGCTCCATTCACAAAAAAGTGTCTCTGCCTGATTTCCAAATACCCCATACCTTCTACCATTTCATTAGAGTTCCCTAAAGATGCTCTTCCAACTACCTAAAAATGGTACACAGAGGGTTAGAGGAATTTGTTGAATTATAGGCAGGTGAGATTCCAGCAAAATCAGACAAAAGCACTTTCCGACCACAGAAAAGAGATCCTAGGAAGACTATGGTGTTTTCTTTTCCCCTCTCTTCTGCCTGAATGTGAGGCTTTCATTGTGGTTTACAATAAGATAGTCTTTTGACTTTGGAACTCCCTCCCTAAGGAGGCTAGGATTACTCCCTCCTTGCTCTCCTTCTGCCAGTGAGTGAATACTTTCAAATTCCATCAAGCTTTTACAAATTGACTGTTATGTGCTTTGAACGGTGTACTGTTCTATTGATTTTTTTTT